TCTATAGGTATTTTAAATCCCTCTATGTCCCCAAGTGCCACATTCACTCATCTTCCAGGGTGATGGAAGGAAAGCTTGAGATCCTAAATGTCAGCAGGGTGGTTACAGTATCTGCATGTTTTAAAAGAAAAGGGGCTGTTGCAGACAGTTGTGCTTAAGCAGGTTTTGAATGAAACCTGGGGCCTGTGGTACTGTCTGATTCAAATTGTAAAAAGTGATATTTTTAACAGGGCACCTCCTACAATGCTTCTTGCTCGACCTGCATCTCAGCACTGTACCACAGATGCTACTGGTGCAGTTATACCCCCAACATTCAGGAATAACAGGATTTCATAAATTATGGCGAGATAAAGTAGACAAAGATGGTACCAACTTGCTGATTACAACGCATGTGTGTTAGTTCCAGCTTACTTTTCTGGTTATTCTTTTTGCATTATGAACTGGAATTATGTTTATATATAACATAATATACTACATTATGATTATATATATAAAAAAATATATAAATATCATTCCAAGTTTTATGTATGCATGTTATATGTATATTATATATATATATGTTTCACCTTGGCCTTCTCATGATTTGTCTTCTTTTGTCACTGTGGTTTTCCTCGGTGTGAATGTAAAAGCATAAATCCAGCACAGTTTCCTGCCTCCTTTTAAAATCTTTAAATAGCCTTTTCTTGCTGTCATGCAGCAGATCTTAGCAAAGTCATTTGGTGCTAACAGCACTCGGGAGGCTTTAACAAAGAAGTCAGTGATGTAATAGCTTGTATCGAACCTGGTACTATGTTTTGGCAAATGCATCTCTGTTCCCTTTGCATCTGTGAGTAAAAGGTGCTTTGAGGAGGAGGAAAATGTCTACTTTTTATAGAGCCATGCAGGGTATGCAGTCATTTTGTTGGGTTTTTGCCCTAACCATCTTTCCTGAAGTCTGCTGTAGGGTGACTGTTTATGTAAAGTCTAGTGTTTCCTAGTACTTTATTTTCAGACTTCATGTAGATGAAATGCCTGTGGTCACTGTCACTGGTTCACCACATGAAGGATGCCTAATAGCATGGGAGCTGTGCTGTCAGTGGGAGGAGCTCGCCCAGGAAACTTTTGGGGAAATCTGTCTTGTGTAAAACAAGCAAGCAAAATTCTAGCAACATCTTTTATGTGACTGTAACCATGTGTGGAATGTGCACTCCTTCTCTTCCCCTCGGTCTCCAATGTATATATAGCATGCATTCAGCCACTTGCTACGGATTCTGTGCACTCCAGCAGGCAGCATGGAGCCAGCAATCCATTTTATGTGACTCTCTCCTGTCTGAAGTCTAAGGCAAAAATTGTTTCTGTTCAGTTTGTGGAGGCTGGGGAGGCTGTTTGTGTGTTTTGAGTTTTAACACAAACTGAAAAAAAGTACAATTAAAAAAACCCCTTCCTAGTCTCTTGCAAGGCATCCTAGAGTAATTGGAACCCTTTCCCGCAAGGAATTGATGTATGTGCAATACTGTAAATGTGATTTCAGTCCATATAATTTCTCTGGCCAGGGATTGATTCCAGCACAGACGTGTCTGTAGCAGGTTATTGAGTAAACTCAGCAGATCTGTAACTGAGGCAGGCTCTTCCTGCCGGTAACAAGACCAAAGATTTTGCAGACCATTAATTCATCCATCTAATCAGCTGGAATTTTAGAGGTGCCTGAAAGAACTGCCTCTTGGGCACCCTTGGAAATACCAGTTAACTTCATTATGCTTTTTATGTTGAATCTAATCTGTGCTTTCAGATTGATCTTTTTCTCATAATGAAAATGTTAAGCAGGAGTAAAAGTTGTTGTTGCATCTTTGATAGGAATCAAGCAACATGGATCAAATAGTATAACTCAGTTTAAATAACCTGAAATATACACAGTAATCCTAAGGAATGCATGCTCAGTTCTGCTTGGGTTGTCTTGTCCTGTTTATCTTCTGTAGAAGTGTAGTTCTCAAAGGTGTAAAGTCCTGCACTAATGTGCCTCACTCCCAAGTAGGACAACCTGATACAAGTTTATCCTCTTGGTTGGAAAAGTGAGCTTCCTGTGACAAGATGCTTCCAAAATCATGTTATTCTGATTTCTCACTGACACAGTGCCCCAGCATTAGGCTGTGTCGATTTGAAGCAGTGGCTTGGGCTGTGCTGGTGGCCCTGTTTGCATTGCTGTGGTGGTTGTGATAGACTGGAACAATAACCTTAATCCCGGGCACCTTCTCACCCCTGAGGGAAGGGAGGAGTTCCACAGGAATTTACAATCTGCTTTGCACTGCATTTCCATTTCTTGGGTCACAGGTTTTTACATCAGGAAAAGCATAAATTCAGCTATATTAGCCCAGCTTGGCTTTGCAGGCAGTGTCAGTACTGAAGCCAGCACAGAGCAGGCTGCAGGACTTTCTAAAGCTGTGAGCACCCTTGCAAATATCCACTCCCCCGGTTTTCCTGGGACTGATTCCTTACAAAATGGCCATGTTCGTGCTAGTTACCATAATCCATGAAAGCTGGTTGTACATCCTGGGTTCTGCTTCAGTGAGCTGGGAAGCCTGCCTGTCTAAAAACAAAATCACAGCAGCCAAGGAATTGTTTGCTTGTGTAGTCAGCCCAGCCCAGGCTCTGTTTCTCTGCCCTGGTCGCAGGCTGAGATTGCGGGTAAATCACATGGCTGGATCTGGATCGGGTGGCTCTGGGGAGGCTCGCAGGGAACAGCAGTGCTGGATGGGCCTTTTCAGCACATTCACTGCCTTAGTTTAGACTTCACATTTCAGGTTGACTCATGATTTTGGAAAAATAATAGATTTTCTTGAGATTGCCCACACTCACAGGCAGATGGGACAGCCTCTCACAGTGGTTTGGGTGCAGGTATCACTTTTTATCTAATACTACTGCAGCATCAGTAAGTGGGGAAGAGTTAAGAAGTTACTTTATCATCACCTCAGAGCAATTTAGGTGATATAGATCTTGCATTAGTGGCTCTTTCTGAAAAGGAAGACATAAGTGGCAGTGGGATAGAGCTCCTTACTTCTATGAGGCTGCAGTGGGGGATCTCCTGGCCTCAGCTGTGCTGCAAAGCTGCCTTAGGGCTCTGTGCAGTCAGGCCTGTTGATCAGCAGCAGGTTGGGATTGCACTGAACACTGCTGAACAGGGACTGATTTGTCCTTGACTCAGGTGTTGGAAAATGCTGAGCAGTTGGTGTTACAGCAGAGAATTCCATCGCTCTGTGACAGACAGCTCAGCTTTTCCCTGATAAGGGCTTGAGAAATGATGAAGCTTTGCTTGTACTGGTTTTGAGCCTTAGTCCATGTGATGCTCATTGCAAGTATATGTACTTTGAGCTTTTTCTCTTTAAGCAAATCCATGTAGCAGTACAAAGCTTAAAATCCAGGGCAGTGGCTCAACATCCTTGTTTCAGATTCACCTCAGGAGGTTGGTGCCTGCTCCTGGCAGATGCTGCAAGGCATGGACACTGCTGTTTTGAACTGTGCCTTCATGTTGAGTCTGCAGGGAACCTTGTTTAGAAGGGTTAGATAAACACAATTAGGCTGCATTGCCAGCAATGATGTTCTTATTTAATGCATTAATGAGTGCAGGTGGCAGGACCTCTGAAGTGAATTAAATGCAATGCAAACTCCTGCTATACTAACAGAGCCATTGTGAGCCACTGAATGCTGAGCCAGCTCATTTGAGAGATGAGGTGGGAGATGGGAATGAGCTGCCCATGATTGAATGATAATTTTGAGCATTACCTTACAGCACAATCAGCTTGTGCCAAAGAACCAAGAGCAAGCGAGTGTGTTTTAGAGCTGCATTTCTGTCAATGGCACCATTAAGATAAGGTGGTCACAAAAACAGATTGACTTGCTTGTCACCTTGTTGTTACCTGGCAGGATTCAACAATGCACTGGTTAAAAGAATTCTGCTCAGCCCACACCAGCACTTACAGTGCTAGAACAACACCACCCAAATCCCTTCCTTTCCTTCTATAGGCAAGATGTTGGAATCCAGCACAATTACTGTGCTCTGCTGGCCTTTCCCACGGTGAAACCTGGTTTTTATTTCCTGCTGCTTTAACCTTAGTATCAGTGAAATGATTCCTGGAAAGCTTGTATTGATTGCACATGATTGTCTAATTAAAGTGCAATAAGAAGAATTGCAGAACACTCACTCTTACAGCCCTGTGCTCACTGTAGACACTGTAAATCAGAAAACTTTCTGTTCAAATATGGAAAATGTCAGTGCTTATTTCCTTTTGAATTTTCTAAGCATCTCCCGAAGGCTGCACTTGTGTGATTAATTTTTTTCCTAAACAACAGTTGGAAAGAAATGTTACTTAAAGAAGAAGTGAGGCCCCACAGGCGTGCAGGGGCCCTGTTGTAAACCTGCTAGCTGTAACCCTAAAGGGAGGCACTTTTAAATGAATATATTTTAATCTGAAACCTGCTAGATGATCCTTTAACATCACATGCACAAATATAAATGGAGATCAATTATACAATATCTAGAGACAAATCTTTAAAGAGTACTCTCTGGTCTTAACCTGGAGCCTGTTGCTCTGCCTGGACTTCATGGCTGTTTTGTTCCCTATTTCTTGTGGTTTGATACTTTCTAGTGACTTGGATCTTACTGAAATGTGTGCAATGAACTAATAAAAAATAGATCCTTGTCCTTGATACATTGCAGGAACCCCAGAATTTGTTATTACAGGAGTGCATCTTGCTTAGTTACTGATTGAATGCATGGCCTTGAGGAAATCACTGAATGTAACCAAATCTTCAGCTTGCACCTCATCTCTAGATGGCCCATGATTCACTGTGAAGTATTTACAGAGCTTTATGAATGATCGGTAGTGCTGCCCAAGACACCAGGCAGAAAGATCAGTAGAGAATCTTTGACTTTGAATTAATTAATGATGCATCAGCTGCATACAAAACCTCTTAAATATATTCAGTATCATGGGTGAAACTGACTTTTCCCTTTCTTTCTTTTCCAGATGTACTTTCCGATTCCCTAGCACGGTTATAAAAATCCAGTTCACATCTTTATACCATAAAGAGGAAGTAAAAGAGGAAGCCTCAACACATCCCCTTCGGCCACTTTACCCTCAAATATCACCTCTGAAGATCCACATCCCGGAGCCGGATCTCCGGAGCGTGGTCAGTCCCCTCCCATCCCCCACAGGCACTATCAGGTAAGATGTTAATTCTCAAAAATGTGCTCTCTGACATCAGTCTGTCAGCCCTGTTTTGTTTGGTATCCTTGGTGCAAGAAATGCCCCATTAAAAATAACCAGTTAAATCCCTGATGTTCAAAATTATGGAAGACTACTAAAAAACGTTATGGTGGCCAGCAGTAGGGCAGTAGTTTTGTTTAAGAGCTCAGTGGGTTCAAGGGTAAACTTGAGTGTTAGTTTCACACTATAGAGTTACATATAGAGTCTATCTTTGGCAGTGGAATTAGAAATATTTATTGAGAGCTGCCTATATGCATGGAGAAAAGAAAGCAGGCATATACTTTCTATCTTAAGACTGCCTGTTTTATTTTAGTCTCAGTAATATTCTGTTGTTGCTGGGTGGTGCTGCTGTTATCTGAAGTTAGGGACAGGGGTGGCCATTGGGACGTGGTTTCCTGGGAATGGAAGGAAATGGGGGTAGGATGCTGACCGTGTACTGAGGGGCTGTAGCAATCTAAATGTACATCTGGGTGCGTATCCTGTTTTGTGAATGATCTGATCTGTGGATGTGCAGTAGAAATAAGATGAACACCAAGTTACTGTATGGAATATTTTCTTTCCTCTTCGGCAAAGAGTTGAGGCTACAGAGTTTCAGTGAAATCTTTTGAAGTTAAATCTGTTACTTGAAGTATCATGCATTTTGTAAAGTAAAGGGGAGTTGTGGTATAGGATGATATATTAGAATTTTAAAACATGTGGGCATCAAAATAGCAAGAGTGTGCCTGGTAATAGTAGTAGCCTTTGGGTTGTTTTCTTGTCTGTACATTTGTAAAAAGGTATAATATGCAAATCTCTTCTGACAGCAGTAATTCAGTGAGTAGTATTCAAATCTGCATGGCTGAGACTGAGACTTTAGAGTCACAATGAAGTCGGTTTGGGTTTGCATGCTCCAGAGGCTTGTTTGGGTTTTTCCGACCGCCTTACAGAGCTGCACAGATGTGCAGTGCAGATATTCTAGAAAGAGGGGGCTGGAGGTAGCTGTGGTTTTAGTCCTGTGTTCAAGCACTGCTTTTAGTTTATATTTAACCTTCTCTTTTTAGATGTAGCTTGTTGCTGGGAGGGGAGGGGGATGGTTCCTTTGCCAACATATGGTAGTTAGTTTCCATTCAGTCATCTTGTGCAAAGCAGCACAGTGTGGTTTGTGTTACTAACAGAGGCTGTATCTTTTGACTCTGGCATATGCCTGCAACTGATATTTGATTCCCTGAGAATGTTTCTTTTGCATAAGGAGAAAGTGGAAATAGTAGTGTTGAATTGTGCTCAGCCCCTAACGCAGTGTTTACTAAGGATGATTAATGATTGCATCCGTTTGTCTCGAGCAGAAGCTAATCCAGCCCAGTCTTCAGAAAACCTCAAAAGACATCTGAGGTTTCGCTTGCTGAAGCCCTTTCATTTCCTAGTTCCTCTTACAGAGGAGGGCCTGACACATTTGTAAACATCCCTGCTCAGCCCCTTCAGCCTTCCCCTCTCCCCGGCAGGGTCTTGCAGCTCTCCCCTGTGGGCCGGGCTTGGGAAGTGATGTGGGTGTTTCTGCCTGAGAAGGGAATGCTCCTTTGGGAGCATGTAGCTATGCATTCTGGCCATCTGACTTCCAGGGCAGCTCTTTGCTCTCCTGGCGGCTTCACCGTGCTGGGTGAGGCTGGCACAGTGTCCTCTCCTCCTTCCCAGAGGCAGAGCTGGGAGGGCTGGTGGGACTCGGTATGAAACTCAGACCCCTCTCCCACTGCTGGCTTTGGGAGGTGGTTGCTGGGTTCTCCTCCTCCTCCTCCTTCCTCTCCCCCTTCTAGTATTTACTTTCCTAATTTGGTGCGTTTGCCTTGCTCCTCCCTGATTGGCCCATGGAAAATTATTGCAGTTTGGAAATCCTGGGCAGGGTGAAATTTCCTTTTTGGAAAGTGGCTCCTGGCCCCCTTTTCCTGCCTCCACCCTGTTGTAGGGCAGGGGCTGTACCTGCACCCCCCGAGCAGATCCAGCCCTGCCCTCCTGACCCCCAACCCTGCTCTGCCTCCCTGTTTACACTGCAGCTTGCTTCCCTGCAGATTCTCCCCTGCAAGCTTCTGGGTTTTTTTCCAGCCTATTTATTTTCCCTCTGCAAAGTGCAGTGCCTAGAGAGGGAATGAGCTTTAGTTAAACAAAACCAAACCTGCCACCCTCAGCAGCTTTGCAAAGCGAGATTCCTGCTTGTTCCTGGGGAGAAATGTGCTCACTGTTTTCTCAGCTAGGTGTTTCGTCTCCAGGAGGGGCTGTGTGTGGATGTGTTTTGAATGCTGTTGTACAGCTGTAAGGGAAAATGTTGGTTGGCAGCATGCTGTGAGGGTTGCAAACAGGCATGGGTTATTTCTTCCTGCTTTGAGTTCAAAACTCCTTTTTAAAAAAATCAGACTTGCATTTTTTTTTTCCTTTTCCAGAAAGGAAAAGGCCACTGTGGTTGTAAGAACTCAGTAGAAGCAGCCTGCCATTTTACACAACATATGAAAGGGCAGAGTAGCACTGAATTGCTCCTCAGTAGGTTCAAGAGATTGAAAAGCTCTGTGAAAATCATGTGGGGTTCACTTGAATTCAGCTCTACTTTTTGGAGATAAAACTGAGTCACAATTTCAGGACTTAAGGAACTGTCTGTCAGTACATGGCTTTAAGCTTCTGCACCTTGCATTTAGAGCCTCCTCTTTGAGTGACAGTGGTTCCACAAAGTTTCTCACCTATGCTGTAAACACTTTGCCTGATTTTGTGATAAATGCACAATATCTGCATGTATGTGACTCTGAGTTGTAACCCAGTCCACAGAGTGGCTTGTGTTTGGATTATTATCAGATCTACAGAGAAAAGGTGTGATGCAGGACTCTATTCCTGATCTCAAAGTCTTACTGAGTTGGAGTTTAAATTTACAGTGTTTAGTTTCCCTTTTACTATGGTCCAGTTGTTATTAATGGCCCTGTAGCAGTAACTTAACTCAGTTTACCAAATAGCATCTCTCTGTAGACTTGCCCCTCAGAGCTGGGGTGGTTTTAATATTTATGAAAATTTAATTATTTCTTTGTACTTGCTTCCCTAATCTAGACAGCAGTTATATTCTCAGTGAGATATATATATATATATAGAGAGAGATACACACATACACACTACAATACAGAAATACCAAATGTCCTACTATAGAGGTCAGTCGTATTACTCATATTTTTCAGCTGCTACTTCTGTCTTATCTCTGCACTAGAATAACTTTGGGCTTGAACATTTTGTCTTGTGCTTGTTTGGGTTTTTTTCACAGAAGGGGCATGGATTGTTAGCTAACAAATACAGTCTTTATCAGTGAAAATATTTCTTTGACATGTAGGAGTAAGAGTCCTTAGGATCCTGTGAGAACCACTGCTTGAAAAGTATCTGGTGAGGTTCAGTGTTAACAGCTAGACTGATACATATTTGTGTGTGACCCCAAATTTGTATTTTAACTGTTAGCTCTTAATGTGCCTACCCATGTTTGGCTGTTACTAGAAGGGTTGATAGCTAGTTTGCAATGCAGTTAATGGCATGAATAATGAAAGGTCACCTTCTTTTGTTCTGTAAACTTGATTAGTAAACCAGAAGGTGTGAGTTGAATTGCTTGGTTTTATATGGTCCTTTTTTCCCCTGAGAGAAATGAGTTCAATAACACATTGCATGCTCTGATGGTGGATTTCTCAGAGCTAACTGCAATTATCTTGACTTAGCCACCAACTTGTTTTGTGGCCTTTAACAGGTCATTTAAATTCATTGTCTGATTTTTATGCATGCACGGTGTAATTACTACTTCACAAGCGTGTGTAGTAGATAAATTATGTATTGAGCTCTTATTCCATAAAGCATGACATGAGTATGTGTGAGCCATGTTCCAGCAGACCTGCAAATGCTGGCTCTGCTTTGATCCAGACTTGGCTGGGAAAAAGGAGGGGGGCTTTTTATAGGCTCTAGGATAGCCATGCACTGCTGTTTCACAACCCTTGGGATTTACTCTGAAGGTGTGTAGGGGAAGCTGAATGAAGCCTGGCTTCAGTGGATGCATTCACTCACTGGAGCAGGATGCATAAATATTCCCTGTTCCATTTCATTCAGGCTTTGCCTCTTCCCAGGGCACTGTGAGCCATTGAACTGAAATGCCACTGAAGAGCTCCAAGGCAGGTTTTTTGCAGGCTCTTTTGCATCATCTCAGTTATACATTACTTCCTGCACTCAGGCAGAATGCACAGCTCAGACAACTCCCACAGTTGGACAGAGAGGTGATTATTTTTAATCACCCAAGTCTCCAAACCACAAGCCAAGGAGGATGATGCATATACATCACATAAGAGAAGCAACAGTCTATGCTGGGCTGGGGAGCTCCTACGCATGTTTATTGCAGATAATGGACTGTGTGCTAGAGGACATGTGCCAAGCCATGTGCTGGAGGAAGGCTTGCAGATGTCACCAGTTACAGGAGCACTTCCTCTTCCCCAGTGAGTATAAAATGCTCACAGAATCCACAGTTGGAGTGAAGTCACTTCTTTCCAGGGGAACCTCTGGAGCACTGACGAATTATAATTTCACCTTTCGTGGATAAGTCACTTTCTCTCACTTGTGGCTTGTTCAACAGCTTTGGTTTTCTTCATCACTAAGCAGGCAGGGTAGCTCTCAGATTTCTCCTTTCACATCAAAATCCAGCTTGGTTTGGCAGTCTCACCACTTGTGATTGCTTCTGAAACCTGTCTGAAACATGCAACATGCAAGGACTTGCCTTTCTTTGAGTTAGAATTTTGGGGCTAGGCTGGGGAAGGTGAGAGCAGTGGAGGAGTCTCAGTCATTCTTGCTGATTGGTGTATCGTGGAAAGGCTTGTTTCGCAAGTCCAAGGGCTGTACTTTGACCTGATTCTTGCTGGTTTCACATAAAAAGCGTCCCTGTATCTTCATGCCCCTTTTTGTAGGCTCATGAAGTGGAGTATTGTGGTAGT